CAACATCCTCCCCCAGATCGACCTCGTTGGTATCGATCTCCTCCAGTCGATGCTTCATCTCCGCCCCGAAATGCGGTGTTCAGCCGAACAGGCGCTTAAGCATCCCTGGTTCGCCGATCTCGCTGCCGCCCAGCAAGATCAACAGATCTCCTCACATCAACTCGGGCAGCAACCTGCCTACCAGCAACACCGAGGCTATCAACAGACGGTGCCGAGCCAGAATAAGTATGGTAACTACTAGGAGCACGGTACCAGTGAACAATCAACTTTGAATCCGTGCGCTGCTGTCTTTGTTCCCTCTGAGCAGAGGAAGAGCCACCAATCTGACACGAAGGCTGCTGCTCCTGAAGAGCCAAAGAACAGGAAGAACAGCGAAGTGGAATAGGGCGGAGAGCAAATAGGACCTCTGTGTGCTGGTGTGAGGAGATTAAAGATGATGGAATAATCGTATCATCCCTAGAAGGACCTGAGAGAAGAAGGCGTGAGGACCAAGACTTTCGACACGACAGGTTGGGAAAGGAAGGCGGAAGCAGGTTAAGGAATCTTTGATGGATCAGGGACTGGAGATGAACGCTTATTATTTTTCTTTCAGCATTGCCATACAAGAATGCCGAGGTTCTAATGTCAAGGCATAGCAAGCGTTTGGGCTTAGGGGGGCAGCTATGGACTATGGGGGTTTGTTGAGTAAATGATATGCGGTATCGGGAATGCAATTGGCAGTTAGCGAATAAGGCCTGTTCCTTTTTTCTTTCTTTTTCTTTTTCTCTTATTCTCATCTACAGTAGCAAGGACAAATACTGCCAATCCAACAATAAAGCGATATAGATAATATACCCATCTGAAAAGCCCACTAAACATCCATGTGCAAGTTCCAGGGATCAGCTCAGTGGAGAGAAGGTGGGTGTCGGAAATGGAATGCGAATCCCCCGCCAACTTTCTTATCGATAACCTTAATTGCACTGCACCGATGCCCCCTGTCGCGGGCAGTCTCCACCTGTCGCGTTCCTCTGCCAGTTGGCGCAGCGCGGTATCCAGTGTCACAGTGAGTTCCAGTTGCGCCATAACGTCGTGCGCTGAAGGTGGCTTTGAACCTCAGGGAAACAAAGATAACTCCGGCAATGGGCAACAGCACATGCGAATTGCCCGCTCAATTGTGTTTCCTGCATCGGATTTCAATTCGCCATTTGAGAACAAGCAAATTTTGATAATCCGACAACTCTATCACCATGTCATCGATAAATGTCCGCAGAGGTGGGTTCTCCATGTTCTGATCGTCTCTCGGCAATTCACAGACTCCGACGCTGTCACGCGCCCACCGACCGAACTCGATGCATTTGATATTAGATGCCCGCGCAATCCAATGAGAAAAAATTTGATTTGCTAACTGATGGCCCCTGTGTGCGCAACCTACAGCTCCAGATGAAGCGGAGGGTACAATTAAGGTCGCCTCGGGCGGCAGCAAAAAATCAATGACCCCCTCGAAGCCGTCCTCGTCCTCGTCCTCATCCTCCCTCAAGATCAAATGGAAAAGAGGTGTGCCAAGGGTCAACAAGGCCGGCAACTGGAAGGATTCGAGCGTAAATATTTTCGATGCGAGCAAGAAGAAGAATGCTGCAGCAGCAGACGATGCGAATATCACCGCCGCCTCGCCGAATCCGATGGTGAACCAGCTTGACGACCTGGCCCGTGAGACATTCAATTCCGGTCAGCCTTTCGACGATACTCCCGACCTCCAGCAGTGCAAGCATTGCAAGAAAGCTGTAACACGGACTGCTGCCAAGGAGCATATCGCCCAATGTTTGAAGATCAAGAAAGAGAAGGCGCAGAGGAAAAAGGAAGCCAGAGAGGCGAGAGAACGGGAGAAGGCCAAGAGGGACGAAGATGCGCGGAGGGCAGAAAACCCCAACGCCGATGGGGGTGGTGATAGTAGTAGTGATGAGGATGAGAGCGAGATCAAGGTTGCGAATGCGGGCAAGACGACCAAGAAGGCTACGGGCAAGAAGACCGACGTCTCTGGCAAGAAGCGAAAGGCAGACGGCGACTTGGAGAAAAGCAAGGCGAAGAAAAAGAAGGAAGAGCCGAAGAAAGCCGCGAAACCTAAGGGGCCCGTTGATGTGGAGCGACAGTGCGGTGTCACGCTACCCAACGGACAACCTTGCGCGAGATCTCTGACATGCAAGAGCCATAGTATGGGAGCAAAGAGGGCAGTGCCCGGTAGATCGCTGCCATATGATATGCTCCTGGCAGCATACCAGAAGAAAAACCAGGCCAAACAGCAAAAAGCAGCTATCGATGCCAACGCGCCACTCGAAGATGACGACGAACTCAACGCTGGAGCTGTTGATAGTGACGAGGAAACTGCGGCAGTCATGAGTGCCCTCGCCCACTGGAATCCACAACCAGTCGTGCCGCAACCCGTTTTCACGCCCATCAAGCGGCAGTACCAGCTCGCTCGACTCCATGAGCAGCTCCAGACTGCGACGAATGGTGGGCGTGTTAACATCTTCAAGGTCAGCGGGTTCGGCGCCCAGCGCCTTCCAGATAACCACCCTTCCTTCTTTACTGAGGAGGATGCTATAGGCGAGCCGGATACGATCATGTCTGGCGTTGACTACTCACGACGTTCTTCGAGCTTCAGTCTCTCTGGACCACCTCAACGGCGACCGTCCGTGTCAAGCCGAGCTTAGGAGCCTCAAGCTTGTAACGAACCGTCGCCTTCTGCTGCGGAAACCTCTGGCCCTACGGTGGCTGCCGCATCTGCGAGGAAGAAAAGCCATACGTCAGCGGCTCCTTCCATGTCGAGAAGAGGAAGTGCTCAGCACCCACCTGGTGCACAGGCCGGAGCCAAACCGAAGAAAGGTCCAAGTAGCCGCGGGCAGGGAGGGACATATCCTACCCCTATCCTGAGTGCATCTGATGTTCCGGCATCTGAGCGCGTTAAACAGTCTGCGAGGAAGCCGTCTCCGGCTGCAAAACTGCGCGGATTGTCGTTATTAAATCATGTACCCCCCTCGCCGAGCCTATCCTCCCGCCAACAAGAACAGACAGTGGAGGGGACGAGCCCACCTGCACTCACTGAGGTAGCCGCTGCCGTTGAGGCGATCTCTGCTCCGTCTCCTCAGATTTCAATCCCATCACCCGTGATTTGGCCAGGACCCCCACCTCCCTCTCCCATTGCTGGGAATGCCACAGTGGGGTTACATCCTCCTTCGACCCCGAGGCCTGTACATGTACCTGACTCGGCGGTGCTGGGTTCATCGTCTCCTATGATGGCGTTCTACCCGCGCCCGCGTCTGCCCATGACTGGCCAGCCGAACAGACGGCCTTCCTCGAGACTTTCAGCTAGCTCGCCCGGGCAGCAGCAGCAATATAATCTGATGGAACAGGTACCAATTCCGCAATCACCATTTGACATAGCTGCCGGGGATTCAAACTGGCTTAATACCGCATTCGAGCAGGCCCACGTTCGTGGTTCGCATCGTGATAGTGAGCAAATCTCGCCTACTAGTGGTGGTAGAAGAATGTTTGCCAGGATGCATTGGGACGACAGCCCTTCTCATCCTCCGCAAGAATCACGCAATCAGCATTTACGTTGTGCTGATCATCAGCATCATCATCATCATCAGCAGCAGCAGCAGCAGCTGGCTTCGCAGGCACAGCTGATGATGCATTATCCCAACGTGATGGAGGCGACTTCAATTATCCAAAATGTGGGAGCGGCGTCACCAGCGATTCAGCCGCCTGTTTCTCCCGTATCTAACACTATGAGTCTGCCCTTTGCTATGCCTGGGGTCTCGCCTAGTCAGGTTAGGCGAATGGAGGAGGCTCAGGCAGTTGGGCACGTGCCAATGAGTATGGCGCAGATTCAGCAGATGGCGTTTATGGGACTGAGAGGGGGTAACCATGGTGCAGTAGGAGGAGAAGTTGAAGGTGGTGGGATGGCAAGGGCGCTTATGCATCAATGGTATCGACAGCATGGTTTGGATGGGGCAGGGAATGTGGGTGGTGAGCGGCATTGACCCTTGACATTTTGCCGGATACAATCATCTTTGCATTCAGACATATTGTGCTGGGAGTGCTGGCAGTGGGCACTGGTTAGATCTGGGTTTTCACAGCCTCTGTTAAATTACGAAGCGGTTATTTGTTGGTGTATTCGGGCTTCTTTTGCACGATCTCGGCGAGGTTTCAGCAGGCTTTATTTCGACATCGTTATTCATCATTTCATACCAATTTCTTTTCTGTTTTCTCTTATAGCATACGGGACAGCTTTTTCCTCGTTCAATTATTTCAGATATCTCTGGGGTCCCTGGTCTTTCAGTCACAGCAAGCTCATCACGGCGTTTTTTCTTTCTTTCTTTTTCTCCCTCTTCTTTCACTATTGGGGGAGGTCTGGTATATCAAATGGGTAATGGGCGTTCTAGGGTCTGGACACAAAACAACGACGGTATTTTGTTCGGGAGTAAGAGACTAATTGAAGCGGAAGACCTTAAATAGAGGAGAAGGGAACCTCTATTTCGGAAGCAACGTCGTTGTCTTAGCTAGTTGTATTGGTTTTTCAGAGTTTTTTTTGTTTCTGAGGGATGATTGTTTCTCTAATTTTTTTCTCATCCTGGATCATGAAAGTTGGCTTTCGAATGATGAATGAAAGGTAGTGTTTGTGTATTCAGACTGTCAAATTAGGAACGACTTGGAGATAGGAGATAGGAGATACGACAAGATAGTCATAAATGACACCTCTTCTTGTGTCCTGTATTTCCCTATTCCCTTCGATTGCACCGGTTGTCGCTGCAACTCTGAGTTTGAAATGTTGAGCCCCGCCCCACTATGTAACCCGTGTCTGTTAACTCTGGTTGGCTCTTTCGGGGTCGTCATCGGAAAGCTATTCACATCCACACCCGGCATACACTATAAAAGAAGTACACATCCAGGTTCATTCAATCCACCCGGACATCCAACTACAACAGTTCATCTGCTGAGCTGAATCTCAACAAGTTATCCAAGGGCGTGTGGCTCAGTTGGTAGAGCGCCCGCTTAGCATTAATACCGCAATGCGGAAGGTCCCCGGTTCGATTCCGGGCTCGTCCAAATACAAATCCTAATCAGTCAGATTAATTTTTTGATTGACTTTTATTCTTCATCTAAAAGATGATTTATTTTTTTCTCTCTGTCGGAGAGGAAGGCTATGGGGTCTTTGGCCTCTCGAGAAGAGGAGAGAAAAGAGTGTTGTGTGTGATGATGGCTTTATGGTGTTGCAAGAAAAATCCTTGTCCTATTGAACAATGTAACATAAAAACACATGAGAGAAAAGGATCAACATGTGAATCTGCATCTTCTCTTTTTTTTTCGGAACCCCAGAAAATGCAAGGGCGGGAAGGGGGAAAAACTTCCCGATCGGGACTAAGAAGCATTATGACGTATGTAGCTTTCTGCTGGTGGTCTCTGCACCTCGGCAACTCGGGGGAGAAAGGACCCCTGCCGAAGACACCTTGACTATGAAGAGTTGAAACTCGTCATTGAGAGCATCGTGAAGGTGTGTTATTTGGTGCTATTTGTATAATACAATCATTGGTTCATTCCCCCTGGCTTTGGTTTCGTTCTCTTTTGTAGACTAACACACTTCCATTAACCACCCCCTCACTATCTAATCAAGACACGACCACAATGACACTCCTCCCCGCGATAGGGCACGCCGCCTCGGGGGCAACAGGGACCATAATTTCTACTCTGATCACTTACCCACTTGACCTGGTAAACACCCGTCTTAAAGTCCAGCGCCAACTAAAGGAAGATGGGGCCATCAATGATGAAGATGCTTACGACGGAGTGCTCGACGCGTTTCTCACTATATACGAGAAAGAAGGCGGTCTTCCAGCCTTCTTCGCTGGTCTTTCTGCGGATGTAGCCAAATCAGCAGCAGACAGCTTCCTCTTCTTCTTATTCTACACGGTATGGCATACCCCCATCTTCCGTTTTCTTCTCACATACTAATGACTACCTAAAGTGGCTCCGAACCCGTCGTCTCGTCGGCCGAAACAACCTCCCATATCTGAAAGTTCTCGAAGAACTAGCAGTCGGCGCCTCAGCAGGCGCATGCGCAAAACTGTTCACAACCCCAGTATCAAACGTAGTCACGCGTCGACAGACAGCCTCTTTCAAGTCTTCTTCTTCTTCTCCAAAGGCCAATGGCGCTGCCACAGAAAAACAACTTTCCTTCACCCAAATCATCTCACAGATCCGTAAGGAGAGGGGCACAATACCTGGTCTCTGGGCGGGATACTCTGCTTCTCTCGTCTTGACGCTCAACCCTTCACTCACATTCTTCCTCCAACAAATATTTAAACGACTCTTGGTACCAGACCGCTCAAAATGGGACGACCCAGGCGCAGGCATAACGTTTTTGCTCGCGGCAATGAGTAAAGTAGCTGCTACTTCTGTCACCTACCCGTTCCAGATTGCGAAAGCTAGAATACAAGTGTCTGGGCCAAACGAAAATGGAAAAGGGAAAGGAGGAATTTTTACCACGGTAAAGAGGATATACAAGACTGAGGGAGTGAAGGCTTTGTATGATGGTATTGGGGGCGAGTTGTTGAAGGGGTTTTTTAATCACGGCACGACGATGTTGAGCAAGGATTTGGTGCACGGGATGATAGTGAGATTGTACTTTGTTGTTTTGGGGTTACTAGTTAAGTGGCCTGGTATTAGGGGGAGACTTGTTGAGAGGTGGAGGGAGATGAAGAGGAAGGAGGAAAGTGGATTTAAGAGAGGGACGAGGTTTGTGGGGGATATTTTGAGAGGTGGGTTGGGACATGCGAACGCTGGGATAGTGGCGATTGTTGATGGTGTAGCGGTATAAGATATGTAGAATATGTGAAAAGAGTTGGCATCACTTTGAAGGCCGCAAATAACGCAAGACAAGATCGAATCGTTGGCGATGTGCAGCTGCATGTTACTCCCAGTTTCCACTGCACTTAACCCCGCCGCAACCTTGTAACTTCCCCAGGTCGCTTTTACACTATGACAGGGGTGCCCTCCACGACTGGAACAACTAAAAAAAGCCCACAAGTGGGGTCTTATGATTTCATCAGGTGGTTTTCAGAATCCTTTGCAAAATGTTTCACAATAAAGAACCACATGTAAAAACGCGGTGGAACGCAGGCCGCCAGACATGCGGGCAGCTGCATATTTTGAGCTTTCCATCATGACCAAATGCCAAGTGAGACAGGGAGACACCAACTCCAAGGATGGGTCACCCACCAACCAAGACTCCACTAAGATCGCCGAGGACAACATGGATTGGACCTCCAACCTCCAACCTCCAAGGGAACTAAAACCACCCCAGCCGTTGATAAGCCCGGTCGTGGAACCCATCCCTCCCTCCTCCCTCAAAACACAACCCGCACCTGCTTTGCCTTGTCCAAGGGTTGGGGGATTGCCAAGTTGCGGCGAGGTTCAGTTTCTCGCTTCTTCTATTTTTCTTGCTTTTACATTTTGGTTTATTTGCCGTAAAAATAATAGATGGATTTCTCTCGGTGAAACTTGTTGTTGATCGTGTGGTACCCTTCCGTCCCCTCGTCGAGTCCCCCCTCCTCTGCGACTACCGATGGCGTTTTGGTCGAACTTGCACCTTCCCTGAACCCCGACTCGTCCCATCGTCTCACAGTTAATCAAGACACAATAACCCGATAGAATAATAATACATCGTACGACTCGAGCCTCTTTTTATTACAGTTTTCGGCAATAGCATCCCCAGATCGCAACTTCACTTTCAACAAAGGTTGCTTGAAACCCGTTGACAACACATCAAAACAGTCTCCACATGGCAGGCAGGAGACATGCGCCGCGCCTGCGCGAGCAGCAGTCGGCGACCGACGGCAGCAGCAGCAATGATAATGCCAACGCTAATAATAATTACGATACCATCAACACGAGCTCCGAACAACAAGCCTCCCAGTCCTCCCAATATCTTTCCCTGCCGAGCTCCCCAACCAGCTTCCGCCGCCCACGTCCCATGAGTCGACGGCCGTCCAACTCCGAGGCCCCCGATGAGCGGTCCCCTCTCCTGCTTGGTGCACCGAGGTCAGCGCGAGTTCGCATTCACAGCGCACATGGGTCGCCTAGAATCCCGGCTCTGTCTAGAAATCAGAGCTACGCGGCCATGGTCTCGTCGGTCGATAGCATCAAATCCACTCGTCACCATTCGCGCGCAAACTCATGGGGCTCACGCCTGATTCAGGCCCTGTCGGACCGGCAGGAGTCCTCCATGGCAGATTCCAAAGGGTACAACAATGCCGATGACCGTGTGTGGTACGATCAGTTCACCTCGACCGACTGGGTTCACGACAGCATTGCCGATGCATACCGCGTGAAAGCTCTCCGCAGCCGCAAGGACTTTTGGGGCCGTGTCTATGTGCTCTTTGATGGCGCTCAGGGATGGATTTTGAGTGCTCTGGTTGGGTTCATTGTTGCTGTTCTAGCGTATATCGTCAATGTTAGCGAGGCGACCGTCTTCGACTACAAGGATGGGTACTGTACCAGGGCATTCTATTACAGCGAGAAGACATGCTGCCCACATGGCCCTTGCACGGACTGGAGGGACTGGGGGGAAGTTCTGAATGGGTTCCCGTTTGGAGAGCGGTGGACCGAGTACGTCGTGTACATCGTCGCTGCTATAATCCTGTCGACCTTGTCCTGCTTGATCACCCTGACGACCAAGACGGTTGTGCCCTCGGCGTACCGGCTTACGACTCTGGACGAGAACTTGGCTGCCGAGTCCGCTGTTGATCCGCTTTCTCTCAATGACGATGATGTTAGCCCCCGACAGTCTCGCGTTGACGAGACAGCTCCGCCAATGATATACTACTCGGCTGCCGGAAGCGGTGTTGCCGAGGTGCGCGTCATTCTCAGCGGTTTCGTCTTGCACGGTTTCTTAGGTCTCAAGACGTTGCTCATCAAATCCATTGGTCTGGTCCTGAGCGTTGCGTCCGGTCTCAGTCTCGGAAAAGAAGGGCCGTACGTGCACATCGCTACCTGCGTGGGCAATATTGCTTGCCGTTTGTTCAGCAAGTACGACCGAAACGATGCCAAGAGACGTGAGGTTCTCTCGGCTGCTGCTGCGGCTGGTGTCGCTGTAGCCTTTGGTGCTCCTCTTGGTGGCGTGCTCTTCGGTTTAGAGGAGGTGGCTTACTTCTTCCCGGCCAAGACGCTTTTCAGAACCTTTTTCTGCTGCATCACGGCTGCATTGACGCTCAAGTTCCTCAACCCTTACGGAACCCACAAGATTGTCATGTTCCAGGTCAGATACGTCGTTGATTGGGAGTACTTTGAGATTGGCAGCTTCATTCTTGTGGGAGTGTTGGGTGGTGCTGCGGGCGCTTTGTTTATCAAGGCTTCGCGACACTGGGCCAAAACTTTCCGAAAGATCCCGGCAATCAAGTCTCACCCTCTGCTGGAAGTTGTCCTCGTTGCGTTCGTTACTGGGCTGATTGGCTACTGGAACGAGCTCACCAAACTCCCAGTAGCTAAGCTGCTTTATAACCTGGCTGCCCCTTGTGACGACAACGATAACAACTTGGAGAACTTGGGACTCTGCCCTGAGAAGATTGAAGATATTCCACCTATCCTGTGGAACCTTTTGGCCGCTTTCCTGATCAAGGGATTACTGACAATCATCACTTTCGGCATCAAGGTCCCAGCAGGTATTTATGTCCCATCCATGGTGGTCGGCGGTCTTTTGGGCCGCAGCATTGGACATATTGTTCAGTGGATCGTCATGGCCACTCCTGACTGGCCTGCTTGGGGGACTTGTGGAAAGACGAGCGTGACTTGCATCCAGCCTGGTGTGTACGGTCTGATTGCTGCCGGTTCAACCATGTGTGGCGTCACTCGTCTATCCGTCACTTTGGCCGTTATCCTTTTCGAGCTGACTGGCAGTCTCGATTATGTCCTCCCCTTCTCCTTGGCCATTCTCGTCGCCAAGTGGGTAGCCGATGCGATCGAGCCTCTGTCCATCTACGACCTTTTGACGGAAATGAACTCTTATCCCTTCCTAAACAACAAGCACAAGCCGATCTTCACTCAGGAGTTGG